AACAAAAGAACGAACGAATGAACAAATGAACGAACAAATGAATGAATGAATGAACGAACGAATGAATGAATGAATGAATGAATGAACGAATGAACGAATGAATGAATGAATGAATGAATGAATGAATGAATGAATGAATGAATGAATGAATGAATAAATAAATGAATGAATGAATGAATGAATGAACGAATGAATGAATGAACGAACAAATGAATGAATAAATGAATGAATGAACGAATGACCGAACGAATGAACGAATGAACAAACAAATGAATGAATGAACGAACGAACGAACAAACGAATGAATGAATGAATAAATTAGTGAATAAATAAGAGTTCGTGAGAAAAGATTTCACAAGCGATAAAAAATTTATTTTGCTGAATTGTAAAAAAAAACATTTTCTTTCAACAATTTTGCATCGTACGTAGGATGAAAAAATAATTATAAAATAATAAAAAAGTTATAATAATAATTATAATAATAAATAATAAATAAAAAAAATTAATAATAATAAATAATAATATTAAGCTTATTTATCTAACGCGGTAAAATAATTTTCTTCATATTAAAATTACATATCAAAAGACAGATATAACAAAATGGAAAGGACAAAGATCAAAAAATTAAAAAAAGATTAAACCGGAAATAAACGAGAGTTCAACCGAAAATAAACAGGGGTAAACCGGAAGTAAACTGGATTAAGCCGGATATTAAAAAAAAAACCTCAAGTTTGGATGTTGAAAAAATGTTCTTTCTGAAGGAATAATAAATAAAAAATGTTAAAACAAATATAGAAAGATAAATGATGTCACCATCATCATTGTCATCACCATCATCCTTATCATCATCATCACCCTTCTCTCATGCCATATAAATCGAGTCTGGCTGTTGCATTCAAATTAAATTCATGAGTTATTTTTATGGTTGTTTACTTTGTTTGTTTGTATGTTTGTTTGTATGGTTGTTTGTATATTTTTGTATATTTAGTTGTATTTATGCTTGTACGTTTGTATGTTGTCGTCATTATTTCAAAAGCAACAACAACAACAACATTATCACAAAAGCAACAACATCATCACAACAACAACAACATTATCATCAACATCACTTCATACGTTTTCAATTCTATTTGCTGACCGCGAAGCGTATAATTATTACTGCTCTCTTGACCGCTTGTACCTCGGCATTATTCGGTCTTTTTTGGTTATTTTCAGTACTATTTTTGGTATTTCTTGGTATCATTTAGTTATTTTTAGTATTTCTTGGTATCATTTGATTATTTTTGGTATTTCTTGGTATTATTTAGTTATTTTAAGTATTTCTATGTATCGATCGGTTATTTCAAATTTTATCCGATTATCTACGTAATTCGGTTATTTTCGGTATTCATCGGTTAATATCGGTTTTTTTTATATTTTCGGTATTTCCCTGTGACATTATACGTACACACCTACAACTGCACAGACACACACACACACACATACACACAAATTTTTTAAACTGAACATCAAACAACTTACTATACAACATATTCTCTCTCTCTCACACCGACACACACACACACACACACACACGCACACGCACATACCATGTTAGGCCTGTGCAAAGTTAAACGACAGTGGTAGGTGCGTATCCGTGTGTCCTTCCTTCCAAGCATACAATGCTACGGCCTTTATGTGGTACCCAGACCCCAAGGGGAAGTTTGCCCATGAGAGGAACTGTGTGGCGGAATGTCCAGGTTGGCTGGCTGGCTGGTTGGTTGATTGGTTGGTTGAATGGCAGGTTGGATGCTTGGATGGATGGTTGGATGGTTTGTTGGATGGTTGTTTATTTGATTGAAAATTGCGAGAATATTTGTATCATCTTTCTTTCTTTCCACAATTTACATCAGCAACCTTGCCAGTGTTTTCATCATTATGTTCAGCTTCATCAGCATCATTTTATTCTTTATCCTTCTTCTCTTCTTCTACTTCCTTTTCATCATCATCATCATTTTCTTCTTCTTCATCCTCATCTTCATCTTTTTCTTCTTTTTCTTCATCCTCATCATCATCATCATCTTCTTCATCATCATCATCTTCTTCTTCTTCTTCATCCTCATCATCATCATCATCTTCTTCATCATCATCATCATCTTCTTCTTCTTCATCATCATCTTCTTCTTCTTCATCATCATCTTCTTCTTCTTCATCATCATCTTCTTCTTCTTCATCATCATCTTCTTCTTCATCATCCTCATCATCATCTTCTTCTTCCTCATCATCATCGTCGACATTGAGTCGCATTACATTAGGGTTGATTATTTTTTTAATATGAGTTGTCAGATCCTCATTTATGTATGTGTGCATGTATGTGTGTATGTATGTGTGTGTACGTGTGTGTGTGTGTGTGAGTGTGTGTGAATGTGTGTGAGACATTGTTTTCTTTGGCGATAATTAAATATTGTTCGTGCAAATAAAACATATATAATTGCTGTAGAGAATAGAGTGAACATAGTAACGATTCATATGTTTGAATGTTTTTCTGTTCGTTTGTGTCCATGAGCGTGTGTGTATGTGTGTGTACGTGTGCATGTGTGTGTACGTGTGCATGTGTGTGTACGTGTGTGTAGTTAGTGTGCGTGGTGTTTGTGTGTGTGGTGTTTGTGCATGTTCGTGTAATTAGTTTAAAGTAGTTAGTAAATTGGTAAAAAAAATCAAAAATATAACAACAATTACAACAATAAAAAATGAAACAATTTATACAATGATTTTACATCTTTATTAAACATAGATATAACATTTGTTTAACAAAGATATAACATTTGTTCACCATAGATATAATATTTACCTGTCATACGCATATACAATGATTGTGTGGATTCCATAGATACAGTATTTATACAACATAGAAAGAAAAATTCTTTGTACAACGTAGACATATTTTTATGACGTTGATAAAAAAGTATTTGTTTAGCACAGACATAACATCCGTATGACGTCGTTGCTATTTACTGTCTTTGGGACTATTAGTGTTTTAACAAGCTTTTTCCGCTGTTGTGTTTACATTAAGCGCTATACAAATACGCCAGTAATATATATATTTTTTGGTATTTCAAATTATTTTTACAGTTCAGGGAAATATAAATTCATTTTTGCACAATGTAGACGATATGACGTCATGCTACAATAATCACTAATCTGTATTTCTATGTTTTCCAAAAAAATCAGGAAATAGAAAAAAAAGAAAGAGAATGAGAGAGAGAAAGAGAGAGAGAAAGAGAGAGAGGGAGAGAAAGGGAGAAAGAAAAGTAAGAATGAGTGGACATTCAGCGTGGTACAATGCATCTCGTTCATTATTTAAAATTTTTCAAAAGTGGAAAGAGTTGTACGGTATGTTGTTGTTTCTGATGTTGTTGTCGTCGTTGCTGTAGCTACAACAACCTGCTGTTGTAGCTACAGCAGCTGCTGCTAGTGGTGATGATGAAGATGATGATAAGGATGATGACGTTGGATAATAAATGACTCTGCTCTGCGGTTCAACGCTGTAGTCCAGCTGTGGGTAGAGAACNGCGTCGTATGTATGTATGTATGTATGTATGTATGTATGTA